TTATTTAAAAATGTAGAATAAATATTGTAGGAGGGTGTTTTTGTTGTTGTTGTTGTTGTTGTTTTGTTGTTGTTGTGTTTGTTTTTTTTTTCTTTTTTTTTTTTTCATACCTGAGCTGGTCATATACGCTGAACCTGTTCTCTTCAAATACAGTTTTCCTTTTCAAGGGAAATACCTGTGGCACTATTCTTTTATAGATAAGGCTAAATGTCTACCAGGGAATCTAGCATGATTAATATTTATTTTTGTATTCTTTTATTTTTATGTTTTAAGTATTCAGAGGATGCTGCACAAACTTTGCAAGGCCTATAATCCACATCATCCCAAGGTCTGTACTGTTTGATAAGGTACATTTAGAGATGTACCATCAGATAATCAAGCCAGCTAGTGTAGTGCAAGCTTCAATGAGAAGCTAGAATTCAGTTCTTTCCATGTGCATAAAAAAGCTTCAGTCACTGAAGCTTTTGTTGGTGCAAGCTCAGTGCTCTGAGTGCTGATCTCGTAGATTAAAGCTACTGTGGATGGTCTTAATAACAATTTGTAGGAACCTTTGTCTGCTGTGTAGATGAAATTCTTGTTGCTTTCAATGTGAATAAAAGCTACTGAGAACACCAGAATGTTTTGGAAAAGCCCTGAGACCTGTCACAATATTTTTAAGCACTCTTCAAGTCATCTGCAGTTTTAGCAGCCTGTAAGGCTTTTGAGTCCTGGGAGTTTGGCACGTCTTCTGGTCTTCCAAGGAACAAAACACTATTGCTCCCTCAGAACCATAGCTTCAGATTAAGATGTCACCTCCTGAATGATGATTCAAGAATACTTTGCTTTGTTTATTTTGTTTACTATGTTTACTCAGGGGCATAGTGTCATGCTTCCCCTGAGTCCCAAGCAAGCTTTCACATGACAGGCTGGCACTGCAGGACACCACTTCAGAGTACAGGCAGAGTCCAGGCAGCCACAGAGGTGTCTGTGTTCCTCTTGGTCACCTGCACTCCCTGCTAGACCCAAATCCACTGGCCATTAGCAGGACTCTGTCTTCAGACTGGAGATAACCTATGTATACCATTTGTTCCCTGGTAGTTCCCAGGGAAGAGTTTTGCTATGCCAACCTTTCCTCCTGCCACACAGCTGGCCTCTCTCATCCACGAAGGACTCTTCCTGAAAGTAAGATCCTGATAACATATTTCAAATGGTGTCCAGGTAATGCCAGAGGACAGAGAAATGATGAAGATGCAAGTGTCTGTTTTACATACAGAATTATCATGTCCTAATGTAAGTTAAAAAAAAAAAAAAAAAGAAAAAAGTTTTATTATATGTCACCTAATGGAAACAGCTGAACAAAGTGACAAAGTGTAACCAATGTATTAGATGCCTTAGCAATCATGCTCATATACTCATATCATATTTTATAAAATAGTTGGGTAAGATATGTTAGCATAAATTACATTAGAACATTGCATTCTGGCAACTATGCTTGCCCTCCTTTTCTTTCTTTCTCCTTTTTTTCTCTATACTAGATGACATCTCAAGTGAAATTTTCTACATTGTCCACACATCTGAACACCCAGATCTCACATTACTACAATGTGAGATAAGTTCTTGCTGGGAAGTGATGATTCTCACTGAGCTGTGAAGGATATGGACCATATTCACTAAGATCTCTGCAAACTTTCAGTTGGATTTCAGTGAGCTGACAAGCTGACACCTCTCTCCAAAAGCTCTTATTTCCTTTTTTTTTTTTTTTTTCTTGACACAATAATTTGAGGCAAGTCAGGACATCTCCATTTTTAAGAGCCAAGAACCTGTGACATCCCGTCAACATGGGAGAAATATTAAAATAATTCCATATGGTCTCCTATGTCTGCTAAAAGAGGAAAGACTGAGAATAAGCATAATTAGAAAGATGAGATTAATATCTTTCCCTGAATCCACAATGCACATCTTTTTTAGACATCACCTCTCTCTGCTCCAGGCCCTGACCCCACATTTGTTAAACAGTGAGCACACAGCCTACTTGCAAACCTGAAGTTAAGTATTATCTTTATACAGATTAGTTTTCTATCTCTTAAACTGTACATTTTGTAGAGAGGGTGACTTACTGACTGGAAAGTGCACCTTTACCAGCTCAACATTTTTAGCACCTCTTGTTCTTTCAGTATTCCCAACAGTTAAAGAAACACTGTTATCCTTCTTTAGGCACAGATAAGGACTCGAGAAACAGAGGTAAATGACTTGCTCTGTGCCATAGAGGAACTCTGTGATAAACTAGGATGTGATACTGTTAAATAATTCTCTAGAGGAATACACTTTCCTCTGAAGCTGAACTCCCACTTTAAACTGATGTACTCTGCCATCAGGCACCATGTTAAAATATCAGTCCTAGTTAAATGGTAGATTGAAAACCAGTCTCAAAGTACAACAGAAGCACATTCTCCTTGAACCTTCCTTGTTAATAAATTGTGATTCATGGCTATCCCATCAGTAATGTTGTGAAAAACAAAACCTCCTTGTTAGAACAGGCAATGTCATTATAAAAATGGTATGCTGTGTTTCTCATTTTATTTTGCAGATAAACAAGACTATTTTAATTACTATGATCTGACATGCTATCTCCAGAACAGAAGGTACAGTACTTGAAAATATAATACATTTGCAATACATTTGCAATACAGGGAAGGTTTATTTTAGGCATTAAATGAAACAGCATTGCCATAGAAAATGAAAAATACTGTCCTATTCTTAACAGAATCTTTCATGAAAGAACAATTGTAAAAACGGAGTTCAGATTTTATTGCTTATGTCAAAATATTAAATGCTGTATTAAGTTAGATTTTGGTAAATATGAAGCTTATGGCACAAACAAGAAAAAAATTTTATTATTCAGAGTTCTTTGGATGTGTTTTAATTTCTTAGATTTTATAATTCACAGTTAATTCTTGATAGGTATTAAATAAGTAGAAGGTTAGCAGCATCAAGGAGTTCTAAAAATCACGTATTTTCACAAAGACCACTTTTTTCTTTCAGATTGATTAGGGTATAACAGCCATTGTGATCAACACAACGTACAAACTGGAGGACTTAAAGGCAAAGAAATAGTTAGAAAAGTGTTTGAGGGGTGCGGAGGTTTTAAGAAAGAGTATTGGAGAGATGGCAACAAAACCCAATGAGGGTATAAAAGAAAGACTCTATTCAGTCAAGAAGAAAACAGAGCAGAAGAAAATTATCATTTTTCGTACCTCAGTCAGGCAGCAGAGATCAGCTGCTGTGTTAAGAGAACAAACAATTCTCACACCTGCAGAAAGTAAAGGTATAATAATAACATAGCATCTTCCCGATGAAAAGAAGTAGGTGTGGATGTCCTTAACAATATAAATTGAGGTCCTTGTTAAGGTCACAGCCTAGCAACAGTGGGAACAAAACAGATCCAATGACAGTTTGTAAGAGTTACTGCTGCATAGCTAATACATATGATTCAGCTAATACGTATGATTCTGTCCATATGATTCAGCAGGAATATTTGCTTGCAAAGGCTGCATAAACCACAGGAGTGCTGTGGCACCTGGAGAGAGCATCCTCCACCCCACTGCTCTCTATGCACCCTGGCTGAAGGCTGGGCTGCCCACCAGATGCAGGGCAGGCACAGAGGGGTCAGCATCAAGATGCTCTTGGGCCACATGGCAGAGACAAGGAGTTTGGGATGTGTGGACACTCTGCTGTGAACGCTGCAGAGAAGTACTTGTATTTAAACTGCATGGATCTTTCTTCCTAAATTTATGTTGTATATTCAGTGATTAAATAAAGCAGGGAGGCAATTATGCTGCATGAATGGCCATCTGACAGCTTTCCAGATACAATATAAAGAGTCCTGAGAGGCTGCTGGGGAAATACCTGAACTGACTAACTTCATCAGCACACATAGGATTTTTCTACCTACAGAGAACTTACAGAGCATATACAATCATAAATACAAGGTGAAACATCAAAAATAGGACTTCAGGGAAAGAGTACATTTCCCAAGACAGGAAACTGCAACAGAAAAATAATTAGAATAAAAAAAGGATAGATTTTACAGAGGGATAAATATACCTTATACCACAATATATTTTTATAGGACAGGCTTCAACAGCTCCCAACAACTGGGTCACAACCTTAATGGCAGCTGACTGAAGCTGCTGCATTATTATCAACTGAGATCCCTTTTGCATTAATGCTTTGGTAATACCACCAAACAGATTGTAATACATTAAAATGTTGGAATTAACTAGTGTTCTCTGATGCAAGTCACCTTCTATTATCAGGCATCAAATTCTTTTAGTATTTTGCTGGTATGTTCTCCTCTGGTACAATCTGCCAAATAAAACTCTTTGCCTGGCTATAGAGTAGATATAAAATGTGCCTGAATAATATGCAGATAAAAATGGATCGAGAAATTAGCCCTGAAGTATTGTAGATTTCCCAAGGCCTTGCTAAGAACTCAAGAGACTGTTATATTTGGCTTTGAGAAAATTTAAATGTTCAAACCCAAATTTATTCTCAGAAAATGGTAGATCCTATTCAGAGAGCGTAAACAACAGCAAAAATATTTAAAGTAACACCAAATGTTACTTATCTGTGATGCACACTGTACTCATCAGTGGAAGAACAGGTATGGTATGTAGATAGTGCTTTTATATTATAGTATGAATTTGAAATTCACATATTAGGTATGGACCAAATCTTTCATTTTAGCAACTGGGTTATGAATATAAGGGTTTGTCTAGATCAGGGATTAAATAATTTCTTTCTTTCTTTCTTTCTTTCTTTCTTTCTTTCTTTCTTTCTTTCTTTCTTTCTTTCTTTCTTTCTTTCTTTCTTTCTCTCTCTCTCTCTCTCTCTCTCTCTCTTTCTCTCTTTCTCTTTCTCTCTTTCTCTTTCTCTCTTTACTTCTTTCTTTCCTTCTTTCCTTCTTTCCTTCTTTATTTCATTCTTTCCTTCCTCCTTTACTCCTTTCCTCCTTTCCTCCTTTCTTCCCTTCTTCCCTTCTTTCTTCCCTTCTTCCCTTCTGTCTTTCCTTCTGTCTTTCTTTCTGTCTTTCTCTTTCTTTCTGTCTTTTCTTTTCTTCTTTTCTTCTTTCTTTCTTTCTTTCTTGGGTATGAATTTGGCCTGTGTGTATTTCTGAAGAGCTATTCTGAAGAGCTATAGTACACACTCAAGGACACACCTGGTGCACCTGAAGTGGTTTGTCTTCCAAACAAAGGTTGATTCCATGCAATAGGATGCTAGCTAGGGAGCACCATTTTAATGTGGACCAAGGTCTTCTACTATGTATCTCTCTATATTTTTATGGCACATGCAGTGTTAGATTTTTGGCACTGTTTATTATTCCATATCACTGATGCTTGTTGATAGAGATGCTGCTACAAATCTGTCCTTTACCTATCTGTCAGTTATCAAATTATAGTCACAGATGGACCTCTCCAGCATTATATATATATATTATATATAATACTATATTATATATAATATAAATGCATATATTATATGCATTTGTATTTTTTGGTGAAATATCCTAATAGCGGTGAATTGTACTTACTGAAAAGGACAGAAAAGTGTGTACTTAGTGGTTATAATTGACAGAAACAACAGGTGAATTCCTCAGTGTGTAAAAACAAAGCTGAAGCTGAAGATCTAGAAAATAATCTAATCTAGAAAATGCATACATTTTATAGATAAGGGCAGCAGCATGTGCTCCATACCATTTCTTGTATTATTAAGTCAGAAAAGATGTGTTTTGTTCTCCTTCTCTTGGCACATTTTCTTGACTGAAATTCTACTGCAACACCATATTAAAGACAGTTCATCCTACATAACAGACTTCTAAAGGCTTTGTGCAGTGGTTCAAGTGAACTACCTAGACATTCTCCTTGTTCCAGTTTCTGAAAGGGAACTGCAGCTTGTTTATCCAGAATGCACCTCCAGCAGGCTGTCTTCTGACTCAAAGTCACAGTAGCAAGACTGAAAGAGAGATGAGCAACATGGCTGAAGCCATGGCTTCCAGAGAAGGTTGTCCCAAGAGAGCTGGTCAGGGACAGCTTGCAGTGATCTGGTGTGGTTAGCTACTGCTAGTTGTATGACCCTGAGGATTTCATAGAACCGTCTCTCTGTTTTTGGAGTCAGTGGCACTTTCTCTTCAGGGTCTCTGGAGAGATCGAAGAGCAATGGGGGATCATGGCGTGTGATGAATCCTCCATGGCAAAAGCAAACATGAGAATCATAGCAACCATTAGAGTCTTCAGGATTGAAGTTTGGAGTGAAGAAGAAGGCTTTCCAGACAGATTCACCTGTAGTTTAACAAATACAAAACAGTCAATGATAATATGACCAACTGAAAAACCCTTCATCTTACAAAACTCTAATTTATACCACAGGACATCAGCCTTTTGGTACAACCTCTATCTGTACACAAACCACAACATACTGAATGAGCAAAACAAAATTAAGCAAAACATGGTGATTTTCATGCTACATATGTTTATGACATTATAATAATTATTTCATTCCCTCGGAAGAATTATAATGAGCTAAATAAAAGAAATCTGAAAAGAACATTTTTTAAAGGAAACAGTACTAAGATCTGCATAAATATTTACTAAGACATTGCTCTGTCTTCTTTTAGACATATTAAAATTTACCTTTTTCACTTGACTATATCCAGACATGATTGAGCTCTGAGTGCTTCTCATTTTGGTAATAAAAATAATTTCATTTTTGTCTTTTTCTCCCTTCATCTCCCTGTTGCATTATCCCAGTACCCTCTGCCATACGCATACTCTGCAAACACGTTAAGACAGAGATTCTCATTTTATTAAATGTGATGACATGAACTCGTATAATGGATTGTAAATTCATGTCTTAGACCTCTAGATGATTTAAAAAAAAATAGTAAAAAAAAAAAACCACATTATTACAGTAGCTCAATTCTTAGGTGAACCTTGGCTTTGTAAAATGGGAACCAAACATCTTCCAGATAGGTCATTTTCACTTAACTTAATTTGCTGTGTATAGACATTGAACTGTCTGCACTAGTGTAACTTTATTCACTATTTTCACTATTTGAAATACTAATAAATTCCTGGATCAAGGACAAGTAGGTATCAGTCCATTCCTTCAAGAAGCACTCTTGAACAGAAGGCACCCTGGAGAACCTGCAAATACTTAACAAGAAAGAATTAAGCAATAAATGGCTATTGTTTTCCTCAAGCCTCACAGGACAGACAGGCAGGGCAGACAGGAGCAGACAGGCATATCCTGGGAAGTACACAGTCCTCCCCAGTCGACGAAGCATACAATTCTCCAGAAGAAGACCAGGGAGTAATTAATCAGAGACAAAATATGTACTTTATTATTAAGAAAGGCAGGACAGTAAACAGCTGAGGGCTATAATGTCTGACTACCCATCCATTTGAGTTTATACAGATATCATAAACAGATATCAGTAACTTACTTTGCTAAGTACCCTATTGCTGAAACCATTTTTGAATCACCTCTTTTTTTTAAACTAGGGAAAAACTCTTTTTGGTATTCTGTTGAATATTGTTAAATCCTCAGAAAGCTTGTTACTCTAGTAACAATCTGTCAATAATTTATATGCGCTGCAGTAATTAATACTCATTAATCAATTCACCAGTTCACCAGAATGGAAGGCACTAGAAAATGTTGCAAGGGGAGAGATGAAGTGTTACATGACTTGCTGTAAATCACAGTCAGTGTTTAAAGAGAAACACAGGTTTAAAGAAAGAAACATCTCAGTGGTCACAGGTTGCAGTTCCAGTCTATAGCATGACTTCAAAATACGGTGGGCCGTGAAGATAATCTGAGGGCTTTCTCCTATGATGAAAGGCTGAGAGAGCTGGGGATGTTCAGCCTGAAGAAGAGAAGGCTCTGAGGAGACTTTGAGTGCTTAAAGGGGGCTTATAAAAAAGGAGAACAACTTTTTGCTTGGGCAGATAGTGACAGGACAAGGGGGAATGGTTTCAAATTAAAAGAGGGGAGATTTAGATTAGATGTTAGGAGGAAATTTTTCACTCATAGGGTGGTGAGGCACTGGCACAGGCTGACCAGAGAAGCTGTGGATGTCCCATCCCTGGAGGTGTTCAAGACCAGGTTGGACAAGGCTCTGCGAGACCTAGTGGGTGGCGTTTTTGCCTACAGCAGGGGAGCTGGAAGTGGATGATCTTTAAGGTCCCTTCCAACCCAAGCTGTTCTGTGATTTTGTGATTCTATGATTCTTTACAGCTTCTTCTATACCACTGCATTTTTCACATTGTAAGGAACTTTACCTTTAGGAACCAATTCAATGACTGAATCTGGAGACTTCCAGTTCACTTAGTCTGCACTTAAATCAGGGTCAACAGTGATGGTTATGATACACAGACTGGGAGAAACCTGTGAATGCTGCTCAGGAGTCAGCACAGAGGAAGCAGTTAAAGGCAGAGAGTTCCCTGCTGGCACAGACAATAGGACATGGCAAGCTTTAAAAGGCACTGAGGGCTGTGGCTGCAACAGCAGCAATGGCTCAGTCATACTGTGGAGGAGGGACAGGATGGGAATGGACAGGATGGGAGCGTTCCTTCATCTCCTTCTCCAATAACATTTTAAAATGTTGGTTTGATATTTGAATTATTTGCTGTTTTATCAGAATTAAAATGAACAAATAAAATCTAAAGATCCCCCTCAAATTTCTTTGAACTTAGGCACAGAACACTGCCCAGAGCAGAAATATGCCTCTCAATTATTGAGATTTAAAATTTACATTCTGGGAAGGTATATGATTCTATACTAAGCATTTCTTCAGGCTCTTTAAATTGTTTAATTGTCAAGTTCGACAATGAAGAACAGAAAAAGCCAAAGGGCATTATTGATCAGTTCTCTTTGTGCCTCTGTAGACCATACAATATTTACCCCACCTGAAAATTCAGTTCAGAGTACTATAACACCTTGTTAGAAGAGCAGAAAAAATTATATAGCTATTAAAATGTCAACTAAAAGAAATTCCAGTAAGGCCATGCACATGAGAACTCTGTGGTCAGGCTGTCTTACCATACACTTATCTTTGATGGTACACTTCTGCTGAATGACATTGAAAAGAAATTTTCAGCCAGTTTTTTGGTATTGCACATTGTAGCACAGGACCATTTCAAGGGCTTACACACAGCAATATAAATTCTGCATGGGGATTCTGAATTACAAGCAGCTCACATAGGTAAGTATAAAGACATATTTAGAAAATATGGAAAAGAAAAAATGAGGAAGCTGTACTATGATTTTTGTTCCAAGACAAAGTTAGATGAGGCCCTGGGCAACCTATCTAGTGGGTGGCATCCCTGCCCATGTCAGGGGGGTTAGAACTGGATGATCGGTTTGATCTTTCCAACCTGAGCAATTCTATGATTCTCTTGCAGAATAAAGATTTCTTCAGGTTTGTTTATATCCAGGGCATTTGTTATGTTGCAAAAATGTGTGGGGTTTGAGACAGCCATGTGTGTGACATCATATCATGTCTGAACTGCATGGCTAATTTTTCCAAGAGCTGATGATTATCAGCTGTGCTGCTATGTAAATCATGCTTATACTATGCAAACCACTGAGCTCTAGGAGAGCAAGACTGTTATTGTGCAATGATCATCTGTTGCACTGCAGCGTTGTTTCAGAGGGTCTGGAACTTCATGTAGTGCTGGAGGAACACCAGTGCTGAGTTTAACCACCCATTTCCTAAGCATTATAAAAACTAAAGCATATCTGCCAGTGTCTGTGGCTGTGAAGCATCCAGTGTAATATACTAGGAGACATAAAGAGCTGTCAGACTTCTAATCTGTAAAGCTGATGAGCTGTATAAGGCTGGATATTAAAAAGGGAGAGTTCTCTCCCAGTCTCTCTCAGCTGATATAGAATCTCATTTTGTCAGAGGGTTAACTACAAGGATCAAATTAATCTCTCAGTAATTAACAATGCCTTTGTTCTGCAAACCATCTGGATAGTAAACTCTCTTTTTATATAAAGATAACTATATATCTCTTCTTCAGTGAACCTAGTAGTAAAATTGTCAGGGCTCCCCCGCAGTCAGTATATCAGATCCCTTCCAAAACACAACAGGCAAGCCCAAAGTCTGCAGAACCCATTGAAACCTCATCCCAGTGTTTCACAGCTACTTTATTCAGCGTCTGTATTTTCCTGAAGTTCTCCAGCTCAGTGAATTGCCCAACAATTTCACTTGTTCAGACCTCCCAATGCCACTTTTCTTTACACATGTAGAAAAAACAAAAGCCACAGAAAGTGTACATATAAATAGTCTCAAATAAAATAGGTTGCAATTAGTTCAAGTAAACCTGGTATGAACACACTTGCTATGAGTTTGATCTCCTAAACAGACTGCTCTTCTGTTTTATCTATTTATCTGTAGGATCTATTTATCCTCTCAGACTCATACAGACAGTATACAGTTCCAACAGACAGGTAGCAGCCATAAGATTAAATAAAAGCTCTCAGTAAGATATATTAATATTTCTAAGATGATGTGACACACTGGATATGGATGTCATTTCTGTTATAGTAGTAGCACTGTGCTTAATAACTGATGGCTATATCCTATTTTCTGATAAGGACTTCTTGAAGTGAACAGAAGCTATTGCTGTGTTATTCCCTGAACATTATTTTTACTGTATTTAATCTGCAACAGATAGATCTAGGTTTGCTACTATTGTCATTGCTTTTGTTCATATTATTTTTTCTTCTTTCAAGAGAAGAAAAAGTTAAACAAGTCTGTTCTTCACTGTAAATTGGGGAGCTGGTCTGTCCTTGACTTCAGAGGCACTTGAGCATAACCCTTTGGGCACAGTGCTACATACAAATGTAAATTGCCCACAGACTTTTCCTGCATTTTGTGTGCTCTGTAGCCATGGTGAGCTCTCACATTCTATCTTAAGGCAGCTCTTCAACATTTCTACAGAGTAACAGATGAAAGCCGAAACTCACTTGAAAATGATATTCTTTAGATAACTGTTGTTACTGCTAGATTGATTCCTTTCTTCCTGCTTTTTATATCTTTAGAATAATTTAGAAGTGCAAGATTCTGTACTAATCTTATATAAGGTAGATATCACATATGTGTATTTATTCATCTCTTCAAGTATTTAATAATTTTAACAAGATTTTGGTTGCTAAGTTCTTGTAGAACTATATATGTCATATGGAGACTACTATTTGGTTACTATAAAGAAAACATACGTATTTGGTTATTTTTATGAATATATATATTCCTCAAACAGCTAATAAAAATCTGCTA